CGGTCGTCGACGTAGCAAGTCGGTATAAGGAGGCCCAGGCAATCACAGACAAGACAGCGACCCAGGTTGGGAAGGTGTTAGAGTCTATTTATGCCCGTGGGCCTCTTCGATGGCCTAAAGTTTTACAAGTCGATCCTGGCTCGGAGTTCCGTGGGCGTAGTTGCCGTCGGTAATGCCTTCGCCCAAGAGCTTCCTGTAGAAAGCCTCCTTCGGCGGAAGGGCCTCCTCGTTGAATCGGGGTCAGCCGTCCATGTACTCGTAGGGGTAGAGCCCCTTCCGGAGCAAGAGTGTACGCCTCTGGAGGTTCGGCTCGTAGTCTGCTGTGATGCGCATGTCTCGCGGGTCACTGGCTTTCACCAGGCCATCCAGGCTTGAGAACATGAACTGGGCGCTGTCGATAAATCGAAGCTGGCCGATACTGAACGAGATGTATTTCTCAGCGTTGTTGGGGATGCAGGTGACCTTCCCTTCAGTTTCTGCGATAGTCTGCATGATGAGATGGCTGTCGTAGCCCCGCAGGTTGTGAAATACAACCGGTATGGTTGTCGTCTTCGGTCTGAGCCGCAACTTCAGGTTGCACTCATTGTGGGCCGCACCTCTGTACTTGCCAGTAATGTGGCAGTAGTCTCGCATGGAATCGCCTTCGAGGGGCTTGCTGCAGACGTGGCGATTTGTGACTTTTTTGTGGCTCCCCCAGTCCTTTCCTGTCATGTGCATAGGCTCGGGATTAGCCAACAACTTCTTGATCTTACGCTCTTCTTCTTGGAGCGCTTCCAGGAAATTCTTGGCTGCGTCGGGCCCTCGGTAGAGCTGCGGCGGCTGCGTTTCCCCGTCTGAACGAACGACTATGAATAAGTAGCTGCATGCCTCGTGTCGGGAGGTTTGCTGGGTTTTGCTCTTTTCAGGGTTAAGCGCGTGGCCCTCGATTTTGCAGACCGGACTCTCAAAGTCGGCGTAGATTATGAAGGGTGCTTTGAGTTACTTGTGGTATTTCTCAAAGCGGATTTTGTTGTTTTTTCCGGGGGTTGGCATTCTGATGGCAACCGCAGCCTGGTTGATGCCTCGACATTCAGGCTTATGCTCTTCCAGCAAATCCTGCCTGGTGAAGCCGTGAAGGCAACGCTCACAGAAGTGCAGCCGTTGGCCATTCTTCGATTCCCGGTTGAGAAGGCGGTTGAAGTCCTTTATCCAAGTGTAGTGGTTTTTCTCGGGGTTTTTTGAATCCGAGACGAGGAAGAAATTCACAGTCTTGTGAGCTCTCTCTACTTTGCTTAGACGGCAAGGAACGACGCCGCCTTCCCAACCGTACACGTTGATAGCAGGGTCGTTCTGACACTCTACTTGTTCCAGCTGGGAGAGCGGTGTGGGTGCGCTCACCCCCACATAGTCAAGACCGTCTTCAGTGGGATACTTGCCCGGCCGTTGCAGGTCTCTAGCTGCCTTCGTTTCATCCCACTTAAATTCCGTAGGTGGTGGGGGAGGAGCCCTTGTGGGGCATCGTGGTTTAAATTCAGCCAGAAGCTCATTGATGTATGCGTCTATCTCATCATCAGTAGGCTTGGCGGGCCTGCGCTTGCGTGGTTTGGGGATAGGCCTGCGCTTTCGCGGTTTGGGGATAAGCGGAGTGACATATCTTTGCGTGGGTGTCGGGTCAGCGGGCGGTTGAAGAGCCTTAAGACGCGTCTACGCTGATTACACCTTGGTCATATAGTTGCAGAAGTTTCTCGACAGTATTCATATCAGTGAATATACCTATCATACGCTATTGTCTAAATGGATGTAGCCTAGCATATAATAAATATTCAGTTAATATAACCTATCATACGCCCTTCTTCTACGAAGGTGAGCTTTTCCGGCTTGCTGGCCACAATCTGCGCATCGTTGCGCCTCTGCCTGCGTGCTGATTCCACAACCCCGACATGGCACCGGCACCGGCGAGCCACGCCGGATTTGTTGCAGATGCACTCTACAATACTTCCTCATACATGACTTTCCACACGGTTCTCTAGTGTGGACCTTCACCCACGCGCACTTGTTCTTGCCCTGCCTCATGGCTGTCGATTGTTTGGATATACGCTGTGAGCTTATTTATACACTGTGAATCGTCTTTCTTCAAATGACTGACGGCCGGCGGAGGGCACCGCCTTAACCCCGACGTCCGTTGTCCAGAGTTTGGCCTTCGCTCTCATTATGCTAGCATAATTACAAGAAGTACGTACGCGAACTAGGACTGGGGCGCTTAGATTCGTGTATACTCCTTCTCAAACTGTGAGGTGTGCCAGAATTGGTGTGAATTTTGTCGGGACCCATGTATACACACAGTACGAAGTAATGTGTAAACAAACTAGGGCTGGGGCGCTCAGATTTATGTACGCAGCCCCCCAGACCGGGGTTGCGCCAAAACTGGCAGTATCTATACCACTTGGCTACAAATTTTTTGTCCATTGAAATATATTTGCAGGAATGTAGGATTTCGCTGCCATATAACGGCCACGATTCGCCAAGTACTAAAGAAATCATAGCTAAAAGTCCTTCGGCAACAACAATTTTAGAAGCATCAATCTGCTTATCATACGCCATGTTGACATAAATCCCATCACACACTCGCATAAATTGACTTAAATATATGTTATTTACCGGAAGGGATGTCTGCACGGAAAATATATTTTCACGAGTTCTTAAAAATCCAGTAATCCACATATAATCGATGCATGTTATCTTTACTTTGACTAGCGCCGCATATACTGCATGACGCTGTCAGCTAGTTAGTATTACGACTATTAATATATGCTTGGTCTTGTAGTATACATGTCTTATTGATCAATGTAATTTTCTACACAATACACATTGAAAGTTTTTTTTGATAATATAGGCGAAAATTGTATGTATTTTATGATAACATAAAAAAGTCGATGTATTTATTTGATCGAAGGTAAGAAAAGCTTTTGCAAACAAAGCTTTTATATTTTGTACATTTTAAATAAAGTTTCTTTTCTCTTTCTAAACCAGCTCCTTTGTCCAATAAATTTCATGCGACGTATGTATGCAAGAAAATATAAAAATTTCTTTAAACTAATTTCTTTACACTAATTTTGGCTTACATAGCCAGTGAAAAGCAATCTTACGTATTAAAATGAAACAAAAACCCTTTTTTCAATGTTGTATTTAAGTATAACTTGCTTTGCTTGATTCCTCTCCTATTTACTTACAGCGAATCTCTGTGACTTTGAACCTGGCCTGGGCACGAATTTATGTCAATGGCACAATGTTGAAGGAGTTGATGATTACAACTGGATTGTCCGCAATTACGGACCGTTTGGTAAGTTCTGAAACAGGAGAACTTTTTAATGTGTGCAAGTAGAAAAAATATCGAGTTTCAAGATAAAAAACTAATTTGATCTCTTGAAACACTGAGTAAGTTTTTGTAAATGGAGAACTGGATAGCTTGGTAAAGCGAGTAAGATAATAAATATTGGTTATTACTTAATGTAATTACGCTTGTGAATTGTGAGGTGCAGACGGTACTAAGCCCAATTCGTACGTGGATGACTTGGAGTTTAGGTTTGTAAAGCAACGTGGAGGGAAATGACGACTTTGACAGAAGACTTAGTTCACTATATAGAAGATCACGTTATAATGACGAAGGCTTCAGTTTTGAAATGATGTCATTTTTATATAGTAGAGAGGCTTTATTGATGAATTTGATGAAGATCGTTTAGTGAGATTTTGTTTTCAAAAATGACTACTCTGATTTTGAATTGAGCTGAAATTCCACTTGAATTTAGTTGATGACACGTCACAAGAGCAAACTGCAGGCAGTCATTGCTCAGATAAGGCTTCTTCTAATTTCTTTAAGAATATTCTTATTTGTTTTGTTTTTCTTTATTGTTTTTAAGTTCTTTATAGCAAGTGTTAATATGCATGGCAACGTTTAGAGAGGAGATTAATAGTTGTGCCATTAAATGAGTCAGCGAAAGATGAAAGTTTTTTCATGCATGAATGTTGTAAAATCGGTGGGTCAAAGCAGTAATTGCTATTTCCTCTTATAACGACAATGTTCTTGTCATTAAATCTCTTCTTCAACTTAGCCTTTAACGTTTTTCGTAATCTCATACAGGATCAATATTTATGGAAGTAAATATCGATCCAGTAGCACTGTAGCTTCTTGAATACTAACAAGTTCTACATTCTCGGCAATATCAACATAACTGGCCATTCTTTCAGTCTCATTTGAGAACACTTAGAACTTCTCTCTTCCGTTACAGGCTTTCAACTTCTTATTGATCAAAGCAATAGGACTTTGGTCATACTAATCGTAAACATTTTTGAGGAAAATTTAGGTGTCGTAGGGATATATACTTAATTATCATGATGTATCGAATAAAACGATTGATACAACATCTATAGCCAGAGCACTAAAAGTAGCTAGCGGCATAACGCTGAAGTTTGCTTCAACGTAATAAAATTATCTACTGTCATATGCAAAATCCAAAAGCTAGTATCTTTGAAGAAACAAATTTTTCTTACTTTTTATGTTCAAAAGCTTTTACTGGTTAAAGCTACAAACAAACAACAACTATCGAAATTAGAAACTCTTAATTTTCTTCCCACCCTTGACAAACTGTCACATTTTCCACGACATGAGAATTATAGGGCTCCCCGATGGGTGTGATATAACCGCCCCTGGTCGCCCTCTTCCGCCCCTCCTGAACAACTATAATTTTTTATTCATAAATTTACAAATAAAAAATTGGTGAAATAAATTTTACAATTACACAAAAATCTTAATTATCTTACTGTACAAGGTGTTTTGAACAACATAAATCAATCTCTTTACGAGCATTACTGTAATGGTTGATCAAGCAATCTTAAATAAATGATTTATCAATAAATATGCATTCTTTATATATCTAGTCTACACAGTAACTATATTTTACATTTTCTCTTGTGTTGCAGGACGAGTTCTTTATTCTGAATCAAGTTCACCTGGCAAAGCTTGGTTGGTGGGAAACTATCGAAACGACTCTCTCGTGTGTTTTTCATTTTCGTATTACGTGCATGACAGTTATTCTGGGCCATTAAATATTTACCAAGAATATTTTCACAATGGATACAATCCCTTACTGTGGTCATTAAGTGTTGATCAAGGAACTAAGTGGAAAAAAGGCCAAGTCACAGTTAATTTTACAATGGGTCTATCTAGGGTACGGAACTTAGACATACTTATTCAACTTTAAACTTTGTCAATTAGTCCAAGCACTTACTTTTCTTCATAGTTAATCGTTGAAGCTGTTTTGAGGCATTACTACAACTTTGTAGCTATCGACAATCTTGCTTTTGCTCCAGGAAGCTGTGACACAATACCAAAGGTGGCCATTCCTAGCAATGCTTTTGGTAAGTATTTGTTTTCTTGGAATGTGAAGTGTTTTGTTGATCAATCTTTTGTTTTAATGTTCTTGAAATTTTCTAACTTTTCATTTGGTTCATAGTTAACTTACATAATGACAGGAAACATTGAATACAATAAATAAATCAACTGTAGAATTTTAATAGTCAGTCAACGTTTTATTTTCATTAATCGTCTTTATAGATTGTTCAATTGGTTCATTCTTTTCCTTTAAAAGTAAGAAATGTGAAAAATGTCCCATCTATACATATCAACCATATCCAAATCAAACTCGTTGTCTTCCCTGTAATGAGAGTAAAGGTACCATCAATGTTGGTGCAGTGAGTGAACGAGAATGTATAAAAGGTAATTTTTATTATTATTAGTAAAATTTCTGTTTTGAAAAATCAATGTGTTGATTGACACTACTTGTTGTTGATTTTCTTTATCAATTTTATGAAGCAGCATTTTAAAAATATTTATTCATGATTTTTGTAATTTTGAACATCGGGAGTATTTATGTTGATTTTAACCTTGGTTATCTATACATAACCACATGAAGGAAACACTTTGACAAAATACTAAAACAACAAAGATAAACTGAAACCATGTATAATTGAACAATAATGTATATATGGTAATTTTCAGCATTGCTACTTACAATTCAGTATTAAAAAATCAATGTATTGTATAGTTAATATATTGATAAGTTTTGCTGTCACTACTTGGTGTTTCACGCCATAGGGCGATCTTCAGGAAACTGACAGATAATTTATTATTTACTGTATATGCAATTGGTTATTAGGTACTAGATTACATAACGGCATGCACTACAATAAAGCATGTCTGGATTACCATTCTTTAAACTTATATATATGTACTTTAGAAAGATAAAAGTTTATCCGGATAAGTTATTTTATTAATGGTGGATTTAGGTGATTGAATGACGTGAAATATGTTGTTGTGGGTTTGGGTGTATTGTGAATAGGATTGTGATAATATATATTATTACCGTGAGTTGCTGTGGTTTGAGTGTCGTTAGTAGATTTTTTGTCGTTTTTCTTTAGCTGTGAATATATACGATAGGTATGTCAATATGTTTGTTCATTGTGTCGTTGTCTTTACTGTACCAAGCGTCTTTAAATTTGCGTGCGTGTTTTGTCTGTGCGCGTCCGAGTACTTTAATTTCTGTCCAATCCTATGCGTCGTTATTTGCAAACGTGTGTTCTGTCGTTAATGAGTTTGGATCTCGTCGTTTTATGGCGTTTTTGTGTTCTGTGAGTCTTGTTTCGATTTTCTTCGATTTTTGTCCTATATGTATTGTTTTGAGCAATCTTTAAATGGCATCATGTAGATTGCGTCCGTTGTATCATGAATTGTTGTTGTTTTGTCTTTATGTTTGGCAAAATATGATTTGTCTTTGTGTTGGTTTGTTTGCGACGTTTATATTGAATGGTCGAAGAAGTCATGCAGTCTTTTTTGATGTTCCGTTTATGTATGCATGGATGTGATTGTTTTTACTGTTTCATCGGGTTATTCGTTACTTTTGTTGGTTTGGGTTTTGTTTTGTGTTTTGTTTATAATTTTGTTTATAAATTTTCTATTGTAATTGTTTTTATAAATGTGGAGTATAAGTAATTGCGTTCTGTTTTCTTAGCCTTTTCGGTGTTACAATAAGTGTTGATTCTGATGAAAAGGTGTTCGTATGCAGCATATTTTGTGTTGTGTTGGGTGATTGATGTTGAAATCAAATATTTGGTCTGTGTGGGTCGTTTTGCGGCACAATATGTGTGTTTAGTGTGCTGTTCTAGTCAGTAGGATACAGAGAAAAGTAAGTTGTTTTCATGTCTTCATCTTTAGTAAAGGTTATGTTTATTATTGTATTGTTTAAGGTTTGTAGGATTTGTTCAGTTTTGTCTTTCTTGACAATGGCAAAGATGTCGTCGACACATCTTTCCTCAGTCTGATGTCTGTGTTGTTGGTGACTGATTGTGATTCGAGTTGTTGCATTATAATTTCTGCGGTGAAGGTGGATAGTGGTGACACAATTTGTGTGCCTGAAATTTGTCTATGGTATGAGTTCTGTAAGGAGAATTCAGTGAAGAGGCAAAGACTGAGTAAGTCTAAGATGTCATTTTTGTCAAGTTGTGTCGTGGCTTGCCAAGATTTGTCGTTTGTAAATAGTTCGTTTTTAATACTTTGGCTGTGTCTACTAGTATGGATGTGAAGAGTAATGTCACGTCGTAAGATATCATAACTGTGTCTGTGTCTGGTTGTAGTTTAACGGTGTCAATGTTGACGAGGAAGGTGGTGGCGTTTTGATGGTGTGAGGCGAACTTTTGACTAGAGAATAAAGAATGTTACATAGATATTTTGATAGTTCATATTTAGGTGATCCTGGAAGAGGTACGATTTGTTGTATATAATTTAGCTATTTCTTTGTTTTCTATTAATAATATAGGAATAATCCGTAAAATTTGTAGATATACCTTGTTTGCATGGCTAGAGTTGATAATGCACTGATATTTCATATGCCTATAAAGTAAAATCCATATTTCTAGCACGTCTTTCAACGCTGCATTCTGGTACGATAGAAATAAAGACAGTGCATGTTGTTGATTTTCTTTAACAATTTTATGGAGCAGTAGTTTGAAACTATTTACATATGATTTTTCAATCATTGAACATCATAAATATTAGCGTTGATTTGTTTCGTTGTTATTTATATATAACACGCTTACGAAATATTTTAACAAATTGCTAGTTCAGAATATACCCCAAATATCGCATTTAAATTGCATATAGTAAAATTTGTATTTAGGTTAAAAAGTATATAAAGTAGACTTATATATAATCTTTTCTTCAAAATACTTGAAAAAGTTACCAAGACAGTCCACATAACATTTAAAAAGCAATTTTAACATTCATAATCTACAATTCGACATATTTTTAATAGTAAGTTACCGTGGGTTTTACAAATATATTAAGTATATAGAACGATCTTCACTCTTGCTGGAAGAAATTTTTGTCATTAAGTTGTTTAATGAAATTCTTGATAAATTTAGTGAACATTAAAGATTTTTGTGTGTCGACGACTTCTGAGACTGGAAATTTTTTACACAATTTCGAGTTTTTTTGCTGAACTTTCAGCAAACGTAGCCAAATTACAAACAAGAATTGCTGATTGATTAAAAACGTAAAATAATTTGTGTATTTAAAAGTTTGATGCTTTTATCATTTAAACCAGGGTCTCCAAACTACGGCCCGCGGGCCAGATGCGGCCCGTTGGGCCTCTCAATCCGGCCCGCAGAGACACTTAAGAAAGCCAATTTCACACTTAACATTGAGAAAACTGAACAGACTAATTGTGATTTTGTTATGATATTACACTTTGTTGAAATTTAACCTTTAAATTTTGAATAAATATTTTCTTAACTAATGAAGCTTGTGTTATGTACTTCGTTTTATTAAAGTATTCGCTCTTTGACCAGCGGTATACGGTTCGTCGGCTCTCAACATGCTGGATGAAAGTCATGTGGCCCTCTGGCTGTAAAGTTTGGAGACCCCGCAATTAATTGCGTACATCATCTCATTTAACTAAAATTTTGAGTTCTGTCAACTTAAAACTACGGTAAAGTCTTAACTTATTTTTTTGAATTGAAAATATACAAATTTCTTTGAGTAAGCAAGTTGCTCATTTTTGTGTAAATTGTTATACACAAAATCATGTAGAGCAGAGCATTCAAGTGAAGAGTTGCGCAATTTAGACAAGTTTTACAACGTTTTGTAATAAGTGTAATCAAATTAATTTTTAAGTTGACTCATAAAATATATGTTATTTACCGGAAGGGATGTCTGCACGGAAAATATATTTTCACGAGTTCTTAAAAATCCAGTAATCCACATATAATCGATGCATGTTATCTTTACTTTGACTAGCGCCGCATATGCTGCATGACGCTGTCAGCTAGTTAGTATTACGACTATTAATATATGCTTGGTCTTGTAGTATACATGTCTTATTGATCAATGTAATTTTCTACACAATAAACGACTATCTCTTTATACCTATTTATAAGTGTGTTTTAATAGAAATTTTACTCTAAAACCTGTGTTGCTGTAAATGCATTGTCTGTTTCTATATTTTTGCCTACAATTTTGTGTTATACATTTTCCCAAAAGTGTGTAATTCATCCTTTCACTCAAAATATTAAATTTACCAATAGTTTTATGTAGTCTATACACTAGCGTTTGTGTCACTGTGGATACACATTTTACTGAAATTTTGTGTACAATTTACACAACATTTTTGCAGTTAAAACCCATTATCTTGTGTGGTGTGTTTTATTCCATACAAATGCATTTCAGACTTTTCCTATATTCTATAGCAACTAATATGGCTGTTTAACTTTCGATTTCTTTTTCGTTCAGTCAAAAGATGTGATTTTCAAAAGGGACTGGGAACTACTGAATGTCCATGGCACAACGTAGAAGGTGACGATGACTTTGACTGGAAACTTCGTACATTAAACTCATCATTTTATGACCCACCACGCTATGATGCTACAGGCTTCAGTATTGGTAAGATGGCAGCGTTTTTAGTGAATAAGTGTTGTATGTACAACTGCTTGAATTAAAAAAAGAAAAATGATGAAGAGTACTTAGGATTTTGTCTTTAAATGACAACTCAGATTTTAAATGTCAATCAGTAAGTTACTTCTTAATAAAATCTAACGTCATAAATATATTGCTGGATCTAAAATAGATACTTACTTAAAATTAAAATCAGATGTAGTTTCATTCAGCTAAAAGACACAAAAATAGATGATAATTTTATAGCTATTATGATTTTTTAAAAAATTTTGTTTATTGAATTTGTTAAACCACGATAATTTTATATTTCTTTATATATAAAGTTCGCATATATCTTACATTTCTTCATGTGTTGTAGGACGATATTTTTATTCTTTATATATATAGTCTACATATATCTTACATTTCTTCATTTGTTGTAGGACGATATCTTAGTTTGGAATCATATGCTTTAGGCAAAACTTGGTTGGTTGGAAACTATCGCAACGACTCTCTCGTGTGTTTTTCATTTTCGTATTACGTGCATGACAGTTATTCTGGGCCATTAAATATTTACCAAGAATATTTTCACAATGGATACAATCTGTTACTGTGGTCATTAAGTGGTGATCAAGGAACTAAGTGGAAAAAGGCCAAGTCACAGTTAATTTTACAATGGGTCTATCTAGGGTAGGAACTTACACATACTTATACAACTTTAAATTCGTCAATTTGTCCAAGCCGCTTACTTTTTCTTCATAGTTAATCGTTGAAGCTGATTTGGGGTATCACTACAACTTTGTAGCTCTCGACAATCTTGCTTTTGCTCCAGGAAGCTGTGACACAATACCAAAGGTGGCCATTCCTAGCAATGCTTTTGGTAAGTATTTGTTTTCTTGGAATGTGAAGTGTTTTGCCTGATCAATCTTTGCTTTAATGTTCTTGAAAATTTTCTAAACATTTCATTTGATTCATAGTTAACTTACATAATGGAACAGAAAATATTGAATACAATAAATAAATCAACTGTAAATTTCAATTGTCAGTCAACGTTTTATTTTCATTAATCGTCTTTATAGATTGTTCAATGGTTCATTTTTTCCTTTAAAATAAGAAATGTAAAAATGTCCCATCTATACATATCAACCATATCAAAACAAACTCGTTGTCTTCCTGTAATGAGGTAAAGGTACCATCAATGTTGGTGCAGTGAGTGAACGAGAATGTATAAAAGGTAATTTTATTATTATTAGTAAAATTTCTGTTTTGAAAAATCAATGTATTATAAACATATTTTTGTTTTATGTTTTCCTTATTTTTCTACTAAATGGAATAATCCCCAACGTAAAACTTGTACATACCTTGTTTGCAGAACTAGATTTGATAATATACTTATATGTCGTATGTTATTTCGTAAAATCCGTATTTCTTGCACGTCTTTCAACGCTCCATTCTGTGACGATAGAAATGAAGACACTACTTGTTGTTGATTTTCTTTATCAATTTTATGAAGCAGCATTTTAAAAATATTTATTCGTGATTTTTGTAATTTTGAACATCGGGAGTATTTGCGTTGATTTTAACCTTGGTTATCTATACAAAGCCACATGAAGGAAACACTTTGACAAAATACTAAAACAACAAAGATAAACTGAAACCATGTATAATTGAACAACAATGTATATATGGTAATTTTCAGCATTGCTACTTACAATTCAGTATTAAAAAATCAATGTATTGTATAGTTAATATATTGATAAGTTTTGCTGTCACTACTTGGTGTTTCACGCCATAGGGCGATCTTCAGGAAACTGACAGATAATTTATTATTTACTGTATATGCAATTGGTTATTAGGTACTAGATTACATAACGGCATGCACTACAATAAAGCATGTCTGGATTACCATTCTTTAAACTTATATATATGTATTTTAGAAAGATAAAAGTTTATCCGGATAAGTTATTTTACTAATGGTGCATTTAGGTGATTGAATGACGTGAAATATGTTGTTGTGGGTTTGGGTGTATTGTGAATAGGATTGTGTTAATATATATTATTACCGTAAGTTGCTGTGGTTTGAGTGTCGTTAGTAGATTTTTTGTCGTTTTTCTTTAGTTGTGAATATATACGATAGGTATGTCAATATGTTTGTTCATTGTGTCGTTGTCTTTACTGTACCAAGCGTCTTTAAATTTGCGTGCGTGTTTTGTCTGTGCGCGTCCGAGTACTTTAATTTCTGTCTAATCCTATGCGTCGTTATTTGCAAACGTGTGTTCTGTCGTTAATGAGTTTGGATTGCGTCCGTTGTATCATGAATTGTTGTTGTTTTCTCTTTATGTTTGGCAAAATATGATTTGTCTTTTGTGTTGGTTTGTTTGCGACGTTTATATTGAATGGTCGAAGAAGTCATGCAGTCTTTTTTGATGTTCCGTTTATGTATGCATGGATGTGATTGTTTTTACTGTTTCATAGGGTTATTCGTTACTTTTGTTGGTTTGGGTTTTGTTTTGTGTTTTGTTTATAATTTTGTTTATAAATTTTCTATTGTAATTGTTTTTATAAATGTGGAGTATAAGTAATTGCGTTCTGTTTTCTTAGCCTTTTCGGTGTTACAATAAGTGTTGATTCTGATGAAAAGGTGTTCGTATGCAGCATATTTTGTGTTGTGTTGGGTGATTGATGTTGAAATCAAATATTTGGTCTGTGTGGGTCGTTTTGCGCCACAATATGTGTGTTTAGTGTGCTGTTCTAGTCAGTAGGATACAGAGAAAAGTAAGTTGTTTTTCATGTCTTCATCTTTAGTAAAGGTTATGTTTATCATTGTATTGTTTAAGGTTTGTAGGATTTGTTCATTTTTGTCTTTCTTGACAATGGCAAAGATGTCGTCGACACATCTTTTCCTCAGTCTGATGTTTGTGTTGTTGGTGACTGATTGTGATTCAAGTTGTTGCATTATAATTTCTGCGGTGAAGGTGGATAGTGGTGACACAATTTGTGTGCCTGAAATTTGTCTATGGTATGAGTTCTGTAAGGAGAATTCAGTGAAGAGGAAAGACTGAGTAAGTCTAAGATGTCATTTTTGTCAAGTTGTGTCGTGGCTTGCCAAGATTTGTCGTTTGTAAATAGTTCGTTTTTAATACTTTGGCTGTGTCTACTAGTATGGATGTGAAGAGTAATGTCACGTCGTAAGATATCATAACTGTGTCTGTGTCTGGTTGTAGTTTAACGGTGTCAATGTTGACGAGGAAGGTGGTGGCGTTTTTGATGGTGTGAGGCGAACTTTTGACTAGAGAATAAAGAATGTTACATAGATATTTTGATAGTTCATATTTAGGTGATCCTGGAAGAGGTACGATTTGTTGTATATAATTTAGCTATTTCTTTGTTTTCTATTAATAATATAGGAATAATCCGTAAAATTTGTAGATATACCTTGTTTGCATGGCTAGAGTTGATAATGCACTGATATTTCATATGCCTATAAAGTAAAATCCATATTTCTAGCACGTCTTTCAACGCTGCATTCTGGTACGATAGAAATAAAGACAGTGCATGTTGTTGATTTTCTTTAACAATTTTATGGAGCAGTAGTTTGAAACTATTTACATATGATTTTTCAATCATTGAACATCATAAATATTAGCGTTGATTTGTTTCGTTGTTATTTATATATAACACGCTTACGAAATATTTTAACAAATTGCTAGTTCAGAATATACCCCAAATATCGCATTTAAATTGCATATAGTAAAATTTGTATTTAGGTTAAAAAAGTATATAAAGTAGACTTATATATAATCTTTTCTTCAAAATACTTGAAAAAGTTACCAAGACAGTCCACATAACATTTAAAAAGCAATTTTAACATTCATAATCTACAATTCGACATATTTTAATAGTAAAGTTACCGTGGGTTTTACAAATATATTAAGTATATAGAACGATCTTCACTCTTGCTGGAAGAAATTTTTGTCATTAAGTTGTTTAGTGAAATTCTTGATAAATTTAGTGAACATTAAAGATTTTTGTGTGTCGACGACTTCTGAGACTGGAAATTTTTTTACACAATTTCGAGTTTTTTTGCTGAACTTTCAGCAAACGTAGCCAAATTACAAACAAGAATTGCTGATTGATTAAAACGTAAAATAATTTGTGTATTTATAAGTTTGATGCTTTTATCATTTAAACCAGGGTCTCCAAACTACGGCCCGCGGGCCAGATGCGGCCCGTTGGGCCTCTCAATCCGGCCCGCAGAGACACTTAAGAAAGCCAATTTCACCACTCACATTGAGAAAACTGAACAGACTAATTGTGATTTTGTTATGATATTACACTTTGTTGAAATTTAACCTTTAAATTTTGAATAAATATTTTCTTAACTAATGAAGCTTGTGTTATGTACTTCGTTTTATTAAAATATTCGCTCTTTGACCAGCGGTATACGATTCGTCGGCCCTCAACATGCTGGATGAAAGTCATGTGGCCCTCTGGCTGTAAAGTTTGGAGACCCCTGATTTAAACCTTACGTGAAACATAATGTTAAACGGACTGCGTAAAATTTTGTGTAAATTTACGCAATTAATTGCGTAAATCGTCTAATTTAACTAAAATTTGAGTTCTGTCAACTTAAAACTACGGTAAAATCTTAACTTACTTTTTTGAATTGAAAATATACAAATTTCTTTGAGTAAACAATTTGCTGATTTTTGTGTAAATTGTTATACACAAAATCATGTAGAGCAGAGCGTTAAAGTGAAGAGTTGCGCAATTTAGGCAAGTTTTACAATGTTTTGTAATAAGTGTAATCAAATTAATTTTTAAGTTGACTCATAAAATATATGTTATTTACCGGAAGGGATGTCTGCACGGAAAATATATTTTCACGAGTTCTTAAAAATACAGTAATCCACATATAATCGATGCATGTTATCTTTATATTGACTAGCGCCGCATATGCTGCATGACGCTGTCAGCTAGTTAGTATTACGACTATTAATATATGGTTGGTCTTGTAGTATACATGTCTTATTGATCAATGTAATTTTCTACACAATAAACGACTATCTCTTTATACCTATTTATAAGTGTGTTTTAATAGAAATTTTACTCTAAAACCTGTGTTGCTGTAAATGCATTGTCTGTTTCTATATTTACTTACAATTTTGTGTTATACATTTTCCCAAAAGTGTGTAATTCATCCTTTCACTCAAAATATTAAATTTACCAATAGTTTTATGTAGTCTATACACTAGCGTTTGTGTCACTGTGGATACACATTTTACTGAAATTTTTGTGTACAATTTACACAACACTTTTTGCAGTTGAAAACCCATTATCTTGTGTGGTGTGTTTTTATTCCATACAAATGCATTTCAGACTTTTCCTATATTCTATAACAACTAATATGGCTGTTTAACTTTCGATTTCTTCTTCTTTCAGTCAAAAGATGTGATTTTGAAAAGGGACTGGGAACTACTTTATGTCCATGGCACAACGTAGAAGGTGACGATGACTTTGACTGGAAACTTCGTACATCATACTCATCATTTTATGACCCACCACGCTATGATGCTACAGGCTTCAGTATTGGTAAGATGGCAGCGTTTATAGTGAATAAGTGTTGTATGTACAACTGCTTGAATTAAAAAAAGAAAAATGGTGAAGAGTACTTAAGATTTTGTCTTTAAATGACAACTCAGATTTTAAATGTCAAACAGTAAGTTATTTCTTAATAAAATCTAACGTCATAAATATATTGCTGGATCTAAAATAGATACTTACTTAAAATTAAAATCAGATGTAGTTTCATTCAGCTAAAAGACACAAAAATAGATAATAATTTTATAGCTATTATGGTTTTTTAAAACATTTTGTTTATTGAATTTGTTAAACCACGATAATTTTTTATTTCTTTATATATAATAGTCTACATATATTTTACAATTCTTCATGTGTTGTAGGACGATATTTTTATTCTTTATATATATAGTCTACATATATCTTACATTTCTTCATGTG